TTTTTCTCTGGTTCATTAACATTTTCTTCTGTTTTACGTTTAATACCCATCTAAAAATTTCAATAATAGCATTTAAGAATATTACAAGAGCAATTCAATTTCATAATCGATTATTCGTACTGATGTGTTTATTTATTTTACAACCGGTCCTTTTATACTTTAGGATCCCAGGCATCTGATTGATCACAACCGAAGCACGAAAGTGTGGATGACGGTGAGAAAGTTGATTATTTAGGATCCTAAAGTGTAAAAGCTAAGGAAATGCATATAAAATAGATAAGCATTCACCACTGGCCAAATTTTCGAACCAATAGAAAGATAAAAGAGGCGATACATTGGAACGAAATGCATCGGTAACTGAACTAGAGAAAAATTATTTAAGTTCTTCAGAATTTTTTTTAGATAGATAACAATATTAAAAAACAATTTAAAACTAATGTTTTGTTTGTAAAATGTCACATACTATGAGGCCAAGCGATATAACATGCGGTTAGAACAGATCTAAATGTACTACAAGGAGTGTAATCTGTGGATGTGCGAATATCAAAAAATCAATTTATGATAGAAATGACTTAAGATAGATATCCTGTGAAACTACGTTTTTGTTTCTCAGAAAAGTTGAGTTTCACGTGAAAGATGTCGTTACATTACAGTAATAGTTAGACAATAACCAACTCGAAGTACTTTAATCGGATTCGGTGAGACTCTATTCATTTGAAACTTGTTATTTTACATAAGTAACATTAAGCAACATAAAGTATTACTATATATGAAAGAGCAACTAACTTTCATTTCTTTTTAAATTGGCTGCTAATCATGTTTCACTTCGCGGCGTAACAAACCATTCGGATTTAACAAAGAGATAAGTTTATGCATATTGGTACTTTTCGAAACGTTGCATGTGTTCACATCTATCCATTGATATCTATCAATACGAAAAAACAAAATATAGATGATTTCTCACGAGATATAAATCAACAGAGTTTTTGGTCAACAATGATATGCTTGGTATGTGCCCTACCAACTGGGTACAATGCTTTGATTATCATATGAAAATCGATCCTAAGCTACGGCATTTCACTCGACATTGACACGATGGTGAGTTGTTTGCAGACAGACAACAGATTTACTGTTTCTTATCGAATATTGTTTCCAAAACGAAATAATCTTTAGTAAGAAAAATATCTGTATGCCATCGCGAATATTCACAGATTTGATGTTCGAACACGTAGTTCAATGATTGTTGACCGACATAGATAACAAAGCGAATTCTCAAAGGAAAGATCGATTCTATTTGTAACGTAACTAAGGTATGAATCTTCGCTGCACCCACATCCGAAATCGATACCAATAGAGAGAGATTTGATAGAGAAAATATATTTTATCATAAAACGATTACAATAAAAGAAATTATTTTATAGAAGAAAATTATATCAACGTGAATAGACATACAATGGATAAATAAGCACAAAGCATGACATAAAATAGCGAACAACATTTCGGAACGAAGTTAAAATTTTTCTTTTCTCCGTACAATTTTATCAATAACTCTGTTCTTGAAAACAAAAAAATATAGTACAATCGTTATTCTACGAAATAATTTATTGTATCATATGGACTAATAATGGAGAAATACAGAACTAATGGTAAATAATTAGTCTACTTAATTCCGTATTCATCCTTGATTTTATCATAATCAATATAGAGCTTGACATTATCACACCAACTGTTGATAGCATTACTTTTATTCGCATGAGCATCGCGTTTAACGACAATCCCTAATTCTTTCGTATCCAAATTCAATATCATGTTGGTATAATTTTTCAATTGAATCTTATTATGAATTAAAAAAATACACAAATGTGAATTATGTTAAATGCACTTACTTGAATTTTCTTTGCTCAGAATTTTTTCAGTACTATTCTTTGCAATCAATTGAATTGATATACTACGCTCCATATGTGCATCCAAAATGGCCTGAGAATATTTTCAAAAATTAGAATCCCAAACTTTTGATAGATCAAGACGTTGAAACATTATCGCTCTAATCGCATAGGATTGTAGAGAAAAGTAACAATTATTTGGATTAATATCGAATGTCAGTTTGTACTTGCCAATCGTTGATTAGAGAACTATTGCAATTTGCTTGACCATTTTTGATCAAACTTGGATCATGACCAAGTGTCCCATTGGGTAATCGAGCATCTCGAATTGAGAGAATACTCCGTAGTTGACTATCTGTAATGTTAGTATTGATAAAATCAGCATTACTAAACACAGCATTTTTAGCATTGACATGTGAAAAGATTGACATTGATAAATTAGCATCCATACAACGAGCATCAGCAAAATTTGTATGTGATGCTTTTATGTTTCGAAAACTCGTTGAAACTAAAACTACAATTGAAAACTGAACTTTTTCGAAAATGACAAAAAATTTGTTTACTTTCATATTGTCTATTTTCCATTTTATGTTCTAACGTTCGTAAAAAATGAATGTCGTTCATATTGTTCTGTAACTTCTTTTTGTTGATAGATAGTCGTTATTATAGTAAAAATAGCTAATACAAGAAGAAGAATAAGTGATGAAATCAATTTAAGACCATCTTTCATTGTTAATCCATAGAATTTAAAATATCGACGTTGATATGTTATATGGGTGCACGCGCTAACATTATGATTAGGAATAGAATATGTACAGAAAATATTCTTCGAATAGTAAATATAAGATCATAATAAAGATCAAATTTCAATTTGTTTTTTTTTCAAAATAACTCGTGCTTCAAATACGGTTTTACAAACTTTGTAGGTATGTGTATATACAATGCCCCCATTGTTGCCTTATGTATAATGAAAACTAAACCGAAAATTGGATCATTGAAATAAGTTTCCTAAGAGATAGACTTCAATTGATAATGAAGAATTCGAAATAGTAAAGATCCGAATCGGCTTAGTTCAATACAAACTTACAAGATGTGAAGAATGTAATCCAATAAGAATAATATGTTGAGTCAAACTTATAAAGATACAATTCCTGTAGAAGAAACAGGAAGATAATCTCCTTTAAAGAATCCTACTATTCTTCTTAATTCGTTCTGAGCTGCACCATCAGTTATATTTACAGAAATATACTGAGTGAATCTTTTATACTCATATTAAAAAAATGATTATTAGCTAATATAATATATTGCACTGATCGACTGTATTATTTTTATTTTCTAGTTCTAGTTTAGTTGAATATACGGCATAAAAATAAAAACGCTATTATGATGGTTTTCTATCTTGAATGTTCGAATGGTGACATCTGTGTATTGAGATATTTGCATCGATTTTAGCTTGAGCTGATCGTATTCTAATGCAATTATGATGTGTTTGATGACTTCCAATTGGTCTTTCATAGAGAGAAACCTAAATGCTCTTAATGTGTTTGTGGGTCAACAAAGTGATATTGCATTCAGTCAGTCCGTAATTAGTGATAAACGAAGGATTTTCTTGTCTTTTCTGTCGACAATATGTTCCATGCGATGGTTGTCGAAGTGGGTATGCATATAAACCACAATATATTCTTCAGTATTGCTTTTCTTTTCTCTTATTTACTTCCATCTTTACAATTTCCTGGAAATCTATGGATAAATCTAGAGAAAACTACAACTCTTTTTTCTTTCTGTTAAATACAGTGAACAGTGTTGAAAAACATTTTGGAGAAAAACAAATTTTACTCATTTATTTTTAAACTATGTGTGTACAAACTTTCTTGATTTGAAAAACAAAATCAGTTTGAATAAAACACAGTGGTCTTTCTTATAATTTGAGCTTCTTTCATTTTCAATTTTCTTCGATCAGATACCTAAAAGTTTCAATGATTTAAACTTAGTTGATCACAGAAATACCATCTGAAGAGGCCTTGAAAAAATAAGAAATAACAAAATATCTTATTGGAGGCTGAGAAGTCACAATCAACTGACCATATGTTGCAATCTTGTCTGCTCATATTGTTTTTTTACCAGAGAATCAAGCTATAGCCTCAATATTGGATCACCATTTGTTATGATGCATTCGGTAGCTACCTTTATTCGTACGAATAAACAATAATTTTCAAAGAAAAACACAATTAGAAGAGTTTCATCATTATAGAGACATTATCTTAAAATAAATTCTATTCAATATTTCTTTTTAAAGATATATATATCTATGACAATATAAAAATAAATCTTAATGAATTAAATGTACAACTCTGAATATTTATCTTTCTTTCCATAAACAATATGAAAAGACAAACCTATAAATGCTGAGTTCTGCCACAGCTAATGTTTTTTCCTTGACAATAAGCTTCCAGAAATATACATATAAACACTGTTATCCTAACTCTCTGAATCAATATGGATCAAATAACAAAATACAGAATTATTATGTATGATAGAAAAGAAAGAAAAGAATAAGACTTCTAAAATAAATTCCGAATACTCTTTTTAGTCATATAAATCCAGTTATATTTCAATGGCAAATATTATACTTTTTTAATATTTATCTTCTTGTTTCTTTCATTTCTATCTTAACTTCATATTTTACTATTAACTAAAGATTCTCATCCGCTCATTATATTGTTCTCTGATGATTTAAAAATAAATTTTTGTTTTAACACATTCTTATTATCACAAGAATCAGTATAAAATAGTTATTGAAATTTAATAAAAGTAAAACTTTATTTTTCATGATTAAAATAAAGATAAAAACTAGTTGAACGATGTATCCACACATATTCATGCATATTCTCAGGAGGGTTATACAAGAAAAATAGGATACAATATAAGGGCATGTGTAATGATGAACAACATTATTGAGCTAACCAAACAAAATGACTTACATAAAAATATATATATACTCTTATTCTATATGCACATGCAAATATCATCCGGTCTCTATTTTAAATAAGGGCGGGCGATATTAAGGATAAAATAAATGATTTAGTACAAGAAGAATTAATTTCATAATGCTGTTGCTTAAGCTTTTGCAGCATTACTAGTAGCAGAAGATTTTACTTCAGATGAAGGTACTTTTTGATCGACGGTTTCATTGTTTGTTTGTGATTGTTCTTTTTTAGGAGTTTCTTTAGCAGGTGCTGGTTGTTGTTGAGGAGCTTCTGCTGTAGGTGCCGATTGTTGTTCAGGAGCCTGCGGTGTAGGTACCGATTGTTGTTCAGGAGCTTGTGCTGGTTGTTGTTGAGGGGTTTGTGGTGCAGGTTTTTGCTGTTGTTGAGAAAAAACTTGTGTTACAGGTGCTGGTTGTTGAAGAACTTGCGGTGCAGGTTGTTGTTGAGAAAAAGCTTGTGCAGCATATGCTTGCTGCTGTTGAGGAGGACCTTGTTGAGTAAATGTTTGTTGTTGTTTTTGTTGAGGTATATCTTCTCCAACGATTGTTCGTGAAATATGTTGAACTTGTTGTGCAGGCAATCCATTATATACTGATTGTTTGGCTTGACTCATATAATGATCACGTAATGACGATAAATTATTTCCACTATTAGTCATAGCTGTTGATTGTTGTTGTTGTTGATAGTGCTGTTGTTGTTGTTGCTGTTGTTGTTGTTGTTGTTGTTGTTGTTGTTGTCGATGTATAACTTGTGTTTGATTGAAATCACCTGAACCTGGTCCTATTTTAAATCGATCACGTAATGCACCAAAACCAGTTGGACTATGTTGAATATGTGCTGGTGCAGCTGCTTGTTGAATATTTGTAAAAAGATTTCCACCTTGTTGTTGCATTTGCATTTGATAATATTCAACACTATTCACAGGTGGTTCATGTGGTTTAGGTAATGCTGAATATGTCATTGAATGTGTTGTTAATGTACGAGTTGCTGCAGCTTGACGTGGACCAACATTTGATGTATGAGTTGAACTTGAATAAAGTCGAGATGATGTTGATGTTGATGTTGATCTTGGATGATAGCGTTGAACGGGTGCTGGTCCAACAAATTTACTCATAAGATTCTAAAGATAAATTATTGTTTTGTTTTCCGAGAAAAACACAAAGAGATGATATTTAGTATGAATACATACTCGAATTCCAACTGGATGCGATGATGGTTCTTCTTGTTGTACTCGCGGTGCAGCCATTTGACGGTGAGTTGCATGATAATCTTAATAGATAAATATATATTTAAAAAAAAAAAGAACATTTATTAAAGTATTTGGAGAACAATAAAGAAATACCTTGTTCATCTTGACGTTGTCGGTCCGATTCTGATCGAACATGTATTTGTTGATAATGTTGTCCTCCATCGAAACCACTTGCTGAATGATGATGTTGTTCTTGATGATGAGTAGATGATGGAGATACTTGTTGAGCAGTGACTCGATGTTGCTGCTCATGATGAGAAGTTTGTTCTTGTTGTCTTTGAATTTGTTGCTGACGTAATAATTGCTGATGTTGCTCTTGAAGTTAAAAAGAAAAGAAGGTTATACACATGCTGTCATCTCTCAAGATTAATTTTACTATATGACCGAGGTCAAGTACAAAATTTAATTATGATAAATCGATGAAAAGAAAATGACATACCCGGTGTCAATTGACTATAGTATTGTTGTAAATGATCTTGATGTCGTTGAGGAGAAATTGAATGAGATTGTTGAGGAGAACCAGTTGATACAGATCGAACTGATACTCGTTGCGCCTATTGAATAAAAGAAAGAAATATTTTTTTTTTGTTAATTTTTATAATTATGATGATGATAATAAATAATTTAGAGACCTGTGCATGATGATCATGACCTTGCGTTGGGCTTTCAGTCCATAGATCAACATTATGATGTGTATATTGAGCAGCACCTGGTGTTTGATAAACCACTGGAGAACCTGTTGGATGACCTGGTTGTTGACGATTATCAAATTGAAAATGATGATGTTGAGGTGAAGCTGATGTTGGCTGTGGTGAACGTGGTAAATTATATAAATCTTGATTATTAACTGCTCGTACAGTAGCCCGAACTTGAGGTGTTAATGATTGAGATGTTTGATAATGATGTTCAGTTACATTTTTATTAAATCCACCTACTGATTGATACTGTTGAGGCGCATGATATGAATCATCATAATGAATTTGTTGATTTGATGAACTTGAAATACCAACAGGATATGCCGAATATGTTCCTACAGGCGATGAATAATTTCGATATGGTTGTGAAGTAGTAGCATCATTATTAGTATTAAAATAATATTGACTGCCACTACTTGCATTTTCAATGTAATGTGTGGCCATTTTACTTTAATAGAATTTTTATTAGAAAATAATGAAGAAAAAGATAAATAGGCCAACTGAAGAGACGACGACCAAACAATAGATATAGATTTAGTAGCAACGAACTAAACACAGAAGTCGTTCGAGCTATCTTATCGATACACTATTTTTTTTTGCTCTATCTGGCTCTCTCTCTCTCTCTCTTTCTCGTTAATATGATTTCCTCCTTCTACTTTTATCTTTATGTATGTTGTACAGAAGAAGAATAATCCGAAAGAGTGTTGACCAAAAAGTATATAAGTTATATGCATTTCTTTTTTTTTCCCACATGTGGGTAGTTTTTTTCTACTATCGACGCAGAAAAGAAAAGAGCGCACGTAGCTGTATAGACGGAATCCAATCATCGTTACCATTAGAAAGGAAAATATGGAGCAAAAACATCCTCTAAGACAAATACTCGTTTTGCGTACTCGTCCATAGATATCTTTTTCTTATGTATTACTAACGGAAATGGCATATACAACGAAAGAGAGAGAGAGAGAGAGAAAAGAAACGTATTGTTGATTTATTAGCAAGAGTGTCCCCAAACGATTGGGACTTATGGCTTCTTTAGTTAGTCCTGTGGTTAGGATTTGTAAACACGTAATGTTCGTTTTATAGTTTCGCGGCAAACAGGACATCTTGTTAATAATTTAGCACAATTAAGACATGATACAATATGACCACATTCAATAAATGCACAATTAGCTTCAGCATCCAAACACACTTTGCAAGCATCTTCAGAATTTGAAGCAGATGATGATTCCAAAGGAGCATTTGATAATCTAGATTGAGCTGATGCTCTTGTTTCATCATGTGACATAGACGATGATTCTAAAAGGAAAAGAAGAAAAAAAAAACTATGAAAGACACTATTTACAACGCAATTGTTTTTTCCTTACGAGCAAGAAAAAAAATTAGGAAGAAAAATTCGCTTACTTGAGTATTTTGAATATTCTTCATCAAATATTTTGTCTGTTTCATGTGTTTTTTGATTTGTTTCTGTTCTTGATGAAATTTGTTGATTTGTTTTAAGATATTGATATTTTTTAATCAGATCTTCCATGGATAAACGTTTCGCCATTGATATAATTTAAAAAAAAAAATTCTTTTGTCGTTATATTTTTCTTGACGATTTCGTTTGTATGTTTGTCGTGCAATAAAAATAAGATTACAATGTGAATTTGTCGTCGACTTTTTATATCTGTAGTTATTCTTTCTTTTTTTTACATCAAGCAACGTATGACTCAAAAAAACAACAACTCTCTCATAAAGTTGCTTATGACATCATCAGAAGAACCAACAAGAAAAAAAAAGAAAACTAAAAGCTCATGGACAAAGAACAAAAGAAAAGTATTCTTTTTTGTGTTGTAACGAAAAAAGAACTGTAAATGATTATTTTACGTATATTTGATTCACATGTTTTACTCTGAGACATATGAACAGCACCAAAGAAAAAAAAAAAGAAATATTTTTACTTTCTCTTTCATCTTCTGACAGAAACAATTTTTCATTTACGGATATGTTGACACTTGAAAAGCAACGCTGTACATTGCTTCACAACTATTCAAACATTTCTTAACTCATTGCAAGCTTGCTTTCACTGCTGTTTGTTCATAAGACGAAAAAAAAAGGAAAGAATTATTGAAATGCGTCGAAGTTGTAGTGATCGAATATTTTGTTTTCTTAGTGCTTTATTAATATTCTATATTGGATGGTATTTAGTCAATAGTTTTTCTCAAATTCTACATGATCCAGAAGAAGAAATGACTTATTTACATGCTATTAGTGGATCATCACCAATGATACACAATGTTCAATTATGTTCTTATAATGAAATTGATTTTATTATTATTATTATTTCATCAGGTTCACATTTTCTTGAAAGACAAGCAATTCGAGAAACATGGGGATCAATGTCTCATATAATGAATGCACATTCTCAACGTCTATTCGTTGTTGGTTATGAATATGGTAGTCATCTTTATAAAGATTTATCAAATGAAGCACGAAATGAACAAGATTTACTTTATTTAACTGTTAATGATAATTTAATGACACTTAAAGAATTATATGCATATCGTTGGTTAGAAAAATATTGTCCAAACGTAACATTTACATTTAAAACAGAAGATGATCTTTTTGTTAATACATTTCTTTTACATGAAATTATTGGAGAACTTAAAACAAATCCAGATAGATTCCAAAATCGATATTTATATAATAGTTCATTAGATTCACTTTTTCTTACTCATCTTAATCCTGATGCACATACATTTCTTTTTGGTTGGGCATTTGAACCAGGTAAACCAGAACGAAATGCTAGTATGGGGTCTTATTATGTTAGTTATAAAGAATATTCAAAAGATTTATATCCACGTTATTGTTCTAGTTTGTATTTATTATGTTTGATTATATAAACAATTTTTATTTATTTTTATTTTAGGTTTTGGTTATTTAATGGATTCTAAAACACGAGATTTACTTGTTGAGGAAGGTTTTAAAGATAAATATCCATTTCGTTTTTCGGATATATTTATAACAGGCATGTTACCTGAACGACTTAATTTTATTTGTGATGCTCTTCCATTTACTTATCATCAAGGTACTACACAACAATGTATAGACATTATAAAAAAATATAATAGAAAAACATCAGAGTTATCAACACCTCCACTTATTGTTTGTTCCACTGGTCGTCATATAGCACAAAATACATTTTCAGATTATTATAGAATTTGGACAGTTCTTAAATATTTTTTTGATAATCGAATACGTACAACACGAAGTAGAAAATTAAAGAACTAATTAATTTTTATTTCTTTTTCCATTTGTTCAATTTTTATGCAATTTTATATTTAGTTTTTCATTGATATTGCATCAAGATGAAAAAAAAACAACAATGATGTTTTGCCATATCTGTCTACGAATATATTTTATTAAGAAAAGCTGGAAAATAACACAAGATATAATGTGATAGGTTTTGTTTCAATTTCTTTACCATAATTCCTAGCCAATTTTCACATATATATGAGGATGTGGGTTTGAATGAAGTGTTAGTCATATCTACATCCACACCCATATCCTTGATGCGTCTGAGCTATCTATATCAGCTGCAGAGACCCGATCGATCTCCGTTATGAGATAAATTGTTATTACAGATGGCGCTGTGACACTTGTTATTAGTAAAATATATTCTGAAACTGTTTTCTTGTTGATTAATTTGAATTTTTTTTTCTAATAAATAATTCAAAATTTGGTAAAAAACATATTCTACAAACGTTCACAGTTAGAACTGGAAATCGTAAGCGCTACCACTGATTTTTATGAGTATAACAGTATGTCAACAATATAGTACGACATAAGTTATATCTCATTAGATCTTATGATTTCAAGTACTTCAATCGGTAGCTTATGATTAAAAGTAATTACATGTTTGATTAGATATTTTTCATCTCCTCCCCTGTGAAAACAGTATTTAAAACGAGCATTCCTGGAAATTATTTTGTTTCACATATATACTCTTTCAACTTCGTTCTTTCAAGCAAGAAATATCGAAGCCAATTTGATGTTACGTTGTTGAAAAATAAATTTCAACATTCTTCCAAAGACCTTTGCAATACTTTTTAATTAAAATAAAAATAGAAAAACAATTAGATCACTTCCGAAAAGAATCACTATTAAAATTCTCTTTTCAATTGATGAAGGAAATAATGATCTTTGTTTAACATTGATCAATTTTTGCGTATAAAGAGAATTAATTTATTTCACTAATGTGTACTTCTAATGATAGTAGTATTTCTAATTTAAGGCCTTCTAATGCTGCGCAAAGTACAATGCTGATATAAATAGGTAATGATAGTTTTTCTCAAACATGAAAAATAAAGTTGAAATCCTAAGCTCGAATGACTCGTGTTACACATTGTAAAGGCTCGTTTTGTTTTAATTCTATACGTCCGCAATCATTTCCAGGCTATAGAGTTATGAATACATATCAATTGGAAAAAGAAAAGTATAACTGAAGGCAATACTTTATGACTCTCTACATAACATAAATAAAAATTTTTATCAGACAGAAATAAGTTAAAAATAGAGCTATGTGTTCCTTATTTATATTTTTTATATGAAGATCTATCTATCGGCCTATTTAATGCGAAGATATATTTCCGTATCAACTATTTCATCGAATATTTCAGATGATTCTAGTACAACTTAAATATATGCTTAATAATGTACTTAATTCGTTTTTCGTTGGTTCAATTGATATTTAAATAAAAGTATTCATTATTTCCTTTTTGTTTTTGTTTGTCATATTTAAATTTAATGATCTTACATTAATCATCACTCTAACTGAATTTAATCGTAAAGATTGAGAATTAACATTTCATAATTTGTAGTACTCTTTTATTGAAATCAGCTAATAAAAAAAAATGTTCATATCCACACGTGTAGGTGCACCCATTCAGAGTCTTATATTGGATTTTAAATGAATATATCCAATTAACGTAGGCATGTCAAAACTAGAACGATAACTCCACACTCGATGCTTGATAATCCGAGTACCGTAGAGATAATAATAATCATGGTAGAATTACCTGTTGTGGGATTTTTAGTTGTTGAATTAGCACTGTCTGCGGTCACACGCATTGTCGTGCTTCTGACTGTAGAATTTGATAGCTGTTTTGATGCTACTGTCATACTAAGTGAAGCTTTCATTGCTAAGGTAAAACTTTGCTGTGTTATTGTTGTCATGAATAAAAGTCGTAACTGTAGAATATGACAAATCTTTTGTTTTAGTCATATTATGTGTGATAAGTTGTAGATGCTGAAAGTAAGCTGTCTTAAGTTGTCGTTATTACCTCGGAATTGAAAGTATCGTAGACAAGTGTTCTACTTGTAGAAGACGGGCTATTTTGAACTCTTGCTGTTAATGTCGATGATATATAATCCTTTGTTGAACTTTGAATTTTTTTGATTTTCTAATGGCGAAGCTAGATCGATACCATTGATTGTTGAAATTGTATTAATATCTGTATTTGCGGTTGAATTCAACCTCAAATTATTACTTGTAGTAGATGAATCATCTGAATACGAAGCCTTTGAATATATTGTTGTTGAATCGCGGTGAATATGAGTCAATTGCGGCAATATTTAATGTTAATGAAACATAAAAGTGAAACAAACATTCGATCGATTGTAGAATTTTATCGTCAGGATAACGTTTCACTCAAAAACAGGATTAGGCATGCTCTAGAACCAAAAAATCTTGATTTTGGCACAGTTTTTCAAACTTGATGGCTTTGGTTTTGATGTCTTTTTTTTAAGATATCAAAAGAAAATGTACGCTTAAAATGATCAAATTATATCTTTTTGAAATCTAAACGTAGTTTAATTTTAGCAATGTGGCCAGAAAAAGATATTTCAAAGAAGTACAGTAAACAACTCGTCATTTGTCTTTGTATAGACGTCTAACAAAGTTTGTTTTTTTTATATTGGAAATCATTTGTCTCGAGAATGTGGATGTAAATGTATGAGTATCAATGAAGAGAAAACTACCACGCATGCCTAATCGCATCTACAGACATTGAAATCCATCTCACACCCACAACCGTGTAAATAATAAAGACTTATCAATAAATAATAGTTGATGCATGCAAAGATTGAATTTGAATCTAAGCTGGGCGACTGGTGATGAAGCTTTTTATTACCGTTTGTTGTTGGTATGTTCCATTTCGTGAGATTAGAATCAAGAATCATATTGGAAAAAAAGTAAACGTCATTATTGATGGCGCATAACCAAAAGAGCATAGCTATTGTAATATAATTCGTCTGTCAGAAAAATAGATCAAATTTCAAAGATGAACATGATATTGTGATCTTGTTGAACTGTATAAGTGTGCAAATATTACTCTATGAGCATCACAAAATTAATTTAAAATGAAGACACTGATTCCAGAAAACAATCGATGATTTCAGTGTTCGAATCATTGTGACGTTTTCAATCACTGTATTGAGTCGTGTCTCTCTAAAATATTTATGCAACTTCATCTGCTTGATTCGTGAGATGTACCTCAATTTTTCTCTCCTACTAGATAATATTGGTTTTCAAGAAAAATATCGAATTCAAAAACTAATTAGTATTATAACTTGTTTTCATCCAACGTGACACCAATGTTTCAAAAACGTAAGTACTTTCCTATTCAAATCGAATCAACCATATCACGTAAAAGTCGTATCATTTGTCAAATGAACAAAGTCACGACTTTTGATCATTAGCCATTCTTAGAAGTAATTTTGCATTTACGTTCTACAAATCCAACATCACATCAACAGTTACGCTTGCTGTCATTCAAGCTACAAACTTGCAGCATGTGATAAAGAATTGAAATGAATTACATTGTGCTGTTCCTATAGTTTCCGTTGCCAAGACTTTTAGTTTTTTTTCAAAAAGAATCTTTTCATTCTCCTATCTGTGAATAGTTTGTAGATGTACTGCCGGAGAAAGTCAGAATTGGTGAGCAACACATGATTGCAGTTAGATGCCACAATTTGTTTTCATTTCTTTCTGTTTATTGAAGAAACATGAAATGTTCAAGTGAACAGAAGCGAAGCTTCAACAATTAGAAAAAGAAAATAGTCAATTTCTATTCGAAATCATATTACAGCAGCCATCATTATTGTGAAAGAATTAATGAGTATAAAACTGCTATAAAGAACATTATTGGATTTTTATCAAACAAATAGTAATTATTCAAATAAACTTCACAGAATTCAGTGGTTGAATTGATCATTGATGAATATATAAATCCTCTTGAAATATTCTGCGAACTCATGGGTATGAATAACGATGTCGGTGTTGAAATCCTTCTGATAGGTCAGCTCTGATAGACTCACATCCATACCCACACTTGCATTATTCTTTCAGGTATGCCTCAGAGATGCTGTGTACAGCACTTTAGCAATATCAATGTAAGCTTAAGATGTGTTAGGACGATTGGTATTATTCATATAAAATTAATAACTAATAACTGAAGTTTTCATTTGTGCATTGGTTTTATCTACAAATGCAAAAAAGATATTCATATTTGTTTGCTTTTATATTATGTGATAGCCGTTTCATAAGTTATAATTTAAATGATTCGTATTTAATCGGCATGACTTTTGAATAACCATATGGATATGAAATTCACTTTATTGTAATACATAGATGAATGAAAGCTATCTAATTCGAGTTACTTAAATGAAAATGAAAATTCGCGAATATTCAATAAATCAAAAAAGAAATATTATTTTTTCAAAAATGAAGTTTGAACATATAGGAATTAAAAATTTCTAATTTTTTAGTCTTTTGCTAATATTTTTAATTTATTCAAAAAATCAATAAACTAATAAATGCCAAAAGATAACCCGTCATCCCTGCCAACAGGATCATGATGATGAACACAATAATTGGAATTCCTCTTTCTGGATCTTCAAGAAAAAGAACATTAAATCATATACATATTCAATTTTGTAATATACCATAAAATGGTATGAAACGGTGTTGTAGTGTTGATTGTGGTAATAACTGTGGTTGTGGTGATGGTTGCCGATCAAGATTATCAATATTATTATCATCATCGTCATCAAGCATTTCTTCTGAATCCTCGTCCTTGAACAAAGAAAAGTTTTTTTATTTCTATAAGCTATGCTCAAATACGTACGATTTGATCACCTTCGATAAAGTTCAAATGGAATTTTCCAAGTATGTGTACATAAGAGTTTCGAGGGAAAGTAAGAGCTTTCATTACACGACATATTTAAGAAACTTCAATAACTATTCCAATTAGACTTTTAAATAATGTATATACTTGTACAAAAACAAAAGATGATAGTATTTCTGTCTTTTCATTTAATACCTGGCCTCGGATTACGAGTTTTCGAAGATATAGGAATTCCTATAGAATTTTTTTATGCATTATTTCTATTGAAAAGTCCCGCTTTGCTAACTTCGTCGTTTGAGATATCCTCTGAATTGAGCTAGCATGAACGGCTGCAGCATTATCAGGATGCCTATCCTATTTCTTTTTGCCAAAATAACAATTTGATTCAATTATTGCTAAAAGATTAATTAGAATATATTTTATAGTAGACCATAAAGTTTGAAAAGATAAACTAAGTAAAAAGAAAGAAAATACTATTTTTCATAGTTGAATCTGAATAATAAAAATAATTTATTTATGCGATCAATATGTATTAGTATTTCGGAGGTACTCTCCCCTACAATAAAAACAATTTTCCAGAAATAACTTCTGCAAATTTCCTCATTTTTGATCGAAAGTGATAATCGAGGCGGTAACGTAGCAAAGGTTTGCCTATCCTCCCTCAGGGCTAAGTCAAATACCGAGCAAAGTTGCATCGAACAATGGAGATCACAAATTTTTGAATATTTTCTACTTTCTTCGACAAAATATAGGAAAACTGATTGAAATATAGGAATCATGGGACGAATCCGATCCCAGTTTAATGCATACTAATCAGAAATAATTTCTTTCCTTTTTCATAATTGTTCCGGCTACAGGTTATACTGAAAAAATCTACACATGCTTGATCAAAACTTTGCAAATTTCGAATTTTTTTATGAACTATGTTTTTGAATACATAATCAGCATAGGAGAAAAAATGAACATAAATATAAATAAAAAATAAAATCTGTGAATGCAAATGTATTTATATAAGATAATACAAATGAAACAGCGACGAAAAAAATACATGAGAACAAAACACTTCGAAGATATTTTCAGTTATGATTAATACGATTATCATTAGAAAAATAAAAAGTCCTATGTAAAATAATAATGAAAACCTTAACTTACTTCAACGATACTTTAAGGCTTAACTTCATGACACATATTAAATTGAACAAATAATTATATATTATCTAATGATATAAAGTGTAATAAGAAATGTCAATCAGTATCGAATGCACTTACGGAGACGACATCTAATTTACATGAAAATTCAAGAAAAAAAATGGTGAGATAAATTTTTCAATGAAAAAGTTTATTTGCCTATATAGTCAGTGCGCACATACGGATGAATCATTTAATGAATGTTGAAATGCACTACAGTGCGTAACATCTAGTTTCAGTGAAGCGTCAATAAAATTGACTGGAATGTGATAAACAGCGACATATGTTTACTTATATTCTTTTATCTTGACAAAAAGTGAGTTTCATCTAGATGAGAATGCTACAATACATTCAGAGTGGAAGCATAGTTCAATAAATACATTTTGGTTGAAAAAATATAAACCAAAGATGTTGCTAACTCAATTCTCTTGTTTTTACTGTAAGGCCCCTTGCTTTATTTTGTTACAACACACTAACATGATAAATAATTTTTATCACAATTAAACTTTATATCCTGAAAAAATTAGCTTCTAAAGATGAGTTTCATGTCAAATGCATTAGTGGTTTTCCATTTCGATATTGATTGGTTTTTCTCCCATTGCTTGTTATCACCAGATCACGTACTAATAGCTTTTATTTTAGCAAAATGAATTGTACGCAAATGATAACGCTATGCTACAGATACAATTTCACAAGAGTATTATGAATTTGTTACTTGAGAACAAAGCAACTTGGGATGTCTTGAAAACGAACTTTCTAATTTTAGTTAATCATAAGAATTTAGTATTATAAATAATCTCTATCGATCATATATATTTCTTATCCTGTTCATATTATCTTTTCTAAATGAATTTCATCCCGTATGCATTAATGGATTTTAATTTCGACCTGAACTTGATGGCTCATGCGTATATGTTTGTACATTGAACGTTAAATAGAACAGAACAAGAGAAAGTATTTGATAGATGAAAAAATTGATTGAAGAATATATTTGACAATCGTTTATGCAAAAACAATATACTTTTTAAACTTTTAATTAACTATATAATTAAAACTATTGTGTTTCTTTTTTTTTTAAATTCGAAAATTTCATTTCTTTTTTCATCATTATCAAGAACATTTCAACTTCACAATTCTTTTTATTAATGTCTTCTTAGTTTGGTAGACCACAGAATAATTATATACACTAAATTATATGTGAATGAAAATATATCACTTAATATTCCAATATCCTTTTTAAAGAATATATTCACATATTTTTGAGACTCTATTTTTTCATAAAAAATAAATGTGGAAACATCGGATTTAAATCCGAGTGTTATGCGTACTTGAAAAAGTGAACGGGACAGATGAGTCATCCTATAGCACGTGTAGGTATCAAAATAATTCTAGCGAGCCCCTTCTATTAACACTCGATTTCTATTGGTTACTGCTCAACCAATAGGATTTCGAGGCAAGTAGAGCTCAGATTCGAGTTCTCCGCCCTAGAAAACCTCGAACTATCATCTCTGTGATCGGAAGATGGAGTTTTACTTTTCGATCAATTGGAACGAGGACAAAAACAGAATCAATTTCCGTTTAAGTATCTTTCCAATAAGTGACTTAGCCTTCTTGTTTCTTAATGTTTTATATACCATTTTGTAGCTCGTGAAATTCTCTATCGGATGGTATATAATAGTTGGGGGTTTTGTTTGATTATGAGATGAAAAGGTTTTTACGAAAAGCGAGATAGGTCAATGTTCGCATAGAAAAGCATAGGGAATAATGACTCTTTCTCCGATAACTCAGCAATGGCTCGACCAATCATTCTCATATTTGAACTCGACCGAGATATTGATGAGACAAAATTGTGTAGAAAATTTCATCGCGATCGGACTCTCCTTTCGAAAGTTATCGTGTAAACGGCCGGACTGACACACTGACCGATTCTAGAGTGTACTCACTTTTTGAGTATTATAAAAAAAAGAAATATGGTTCTCATAAAATTAGTTTAGGTGAATTAGAACAATGGTGTGAAAATAATCAAAATATTCCAACTGATGAAAATGAATCTTTTGTTGTATCATACAAGATATTATATAATGATGAGGAATATGAAGACGATGAAGATGTAGAAGATGATGGTGGAAATAAATTTCGTATCTTTATATCATCTGTTCGTTTGCTCGGCATCATATCTATGTCGTCACATTTATGTTCTGATGCTA